AAGGTTTGGGGGAATATAGGCCAGCAGTAGGCAGGTAGGACTAGTTTAGTTTGGGATTATGTTCGGCATGGACTGGTTAGACCAAAAGGTCTGTTTTGTGCTGTACAACTCTACGAAAGAAAACATGACCTCCAGTCTGAAATTTCAACATTCCTGCAAACCAATGATCAACCAACTAGAAAAAAATCAAATAGATTCATTTTATTCTTGCTTTCCTATTTAGATAAAACACAATGATTCTGGCTTCATGATTTAAACTGGAAAATGAGGAGTTAATAAATCACGGGGATAAGCAATGAGGAAAGATTAAAAGTTTTCAAGATAAGTCTAGGATAAAGGCAGTGGAGTCAAACAATTAGAGCCAGACCTTTCAGAAGTGAAATTAAACATTTCTACATGTGAAGCATTAAAAATGTGGAACCTGCTTCCACAATGGCAATTAGCACAAAATAAACTGTTAATTTAAAAAAACTATGATTAATATACTTTTTTTAGACAAAAGAGGCAATGGGGTAAAGGCAGATTTACGGAGTTAGGTCACAGATCAGTCATAACCTCAAAGAATGGTATATAACAAAACCATGGATCTAAATGGCCTAATCCTATTCCCATGTTACAAAACAAATACAATACCGACGTTTTTGCAGTGATAATCTTTGTCTTCCAAATACTGATCACGTACATAATTCATTACTTAACCAGACAGAATTTCAAACATCATGTATCCATGTAGTTAAAATGTAGTGATGTACTACATGACTTAATCTTACACATAGTTTACGGTTTCAATCTGTACATCAATGCTGGTAGAGGGAAGGATGGGAATTGGGATAAACAGAGAGGAAATACAATATGCACCAAGAATTGAGAGAGATAAAGCACCAGAGTAAGAAATAGTATAGTGACGTCAGAGTAAGATGATTTTCAATAAGGTTTACATTATGTTTAACGTGCACGTATGAAGCTGATTAAAAAAAAAATTGGCAAGCTTAGATGCAAAGAGCCAAATGGGAATATGATGATATGACAGTAATGGAGATCTGGCTCATAAAAGGACAGGCCTAATTACTAAATACTGATGGATACAATGTATTATGGAAAGACAATGAAGGAAAGAAAGAAGAGTGCCAAAATCGATCGAAGATAATATTAACTGTGGAGAGGTGGTCCTACTGGAGCTGAGGACAGAATCTATTTAATAAGAGCTGGGAAGCAACAGTGGTATTATTACACTAGATGGTTACTCTATGGGCTAAGTAGTGGGAAAGAAAGGGAACAAACTTGCAAGGAAACTACAGAGTACAAAAACTATAATGAATTATATTTTAAGACTTCATTTATCCCAGTCTCTCCTGGGATAGTATTAGCATAAAGGCCAGGAAGAGTTTTTGAACTTTTGAGAATTTGATACATCTGTATGTTTACAAATAAACGAGGAGGTGGCGTTGCTGAAAATTTGCTGCTGGGGAATCAGTGGATCAAGAGGATCAAGTGTCAATAAGAAACAGTGATAATGGTATCACAAGGTTTGGGTCAGCTACGGAAAAGGACAAAGATCAATCTAGAGCAAAAATACTTAATAAAAGGACAATCAGTTGCAGTGGGGAGAGAACAGATCTGGTCCAGGTAAATTGGAATTAAAGACTGGCAGACTAAATTGCAACAGCGCAAATAGGCTGCCTTTCAATAGGTGATGGATCAGTATATCCCCAGAGGGACAAGGTAGGACAAACAAAGCCAGATCCCCCTTCATAATAAAGGCAGAGAGAGCAAGAAGAAGAAGAAAAAGGCTGTGTATGATATATCAAGTTGGAAAAATAATGGAAAGCAAGGCTGAACAGAGAACGTCAAGGGGGAAGTGAAAAAAGAAACAAATAAGAAAGGACTGGCAGTTAATAAAAAAGGGAATCCTAAAGTCTTCTTTTTGCATATAAATAGTAAAAAGATAGTAAAAGGAGTAGGTGTTAAGTAGCAAAAGGGAATTTACTCATGAAGGCAGGGTATATGGCCAAGGTACCAATGAGTACTTGACATCCCTTTCTACTAAGAACAGTGATGTTGCTAAAGTTATAGAGAAAAAGGAGGTTGTTGAGAAATGGATGAGCCAAATATGATAAACTGAAGGTATAAAGAAGACTATCTGTACTTAAAGTTGATGTCACCAGACTCAATGAGATGCAAGTGTGTGTATGTTGCTAGCAAGTAAGGGTTGCTTGAAAGCACTTACTCCTTTCACACTTGGCAAATGATTAAGGCTGTACTGATGTGGAGCTTATTGAATGGATTAGATTTATCCCACTTTTTGTAGACACAACATAGTAGGCATTTTACGAACATGCATCTACATCCAGCTATCTAGAAGGTGGTGATATGGGATTTCTCACCCTTCACACAAGCAGTTAGAATAACAATTCTTTTTTTCTGTTCCACCATGAAGAACTGCAGAATGTGTAACAATGTGTTTATTTCTTAATTGCTTCTGCTTGCCTTCTCATCTCCATGTTAGCACTTGATTTGTTAAATGGACAGTAAAAAAAATTACATTTGTGCACAAAAAACAAAAGTTATGACATAAATAAATGTTTTTGGAGGACTAACGTTGAAGAAATTCAAACTGCCTCTTTCAAAAAAAGAAAATTATGGCACATGCTGATGACATTATTGCTATTGGTGTAATAAACTAATGTTACATTGAAGTAAATCCTGATTAATGCACAAGTTACATTAATGATAATTCTCACCCAAGTAAAAGTTCTCACCAAATGGATAAAATTGTGAAGAGGTGTGTGTGTCGGGGGTGGGGGGGGGGGGGGGGAAGCGGTTTGGGGATTGCTACTGCAGAGATGCTTTTATACAAATGATATTTTAAACAAAAGGAAATCTGTGACAGGACAGCACTACACAAGCATTAAGAATAACCACTGTAGGAAAAAAACACTGATTCTGAATGCAATTCAAAAGTATTAGCCTAAGCTTTCATGTACAGCTCCACAGAATTTAGATTCCAACTTTGATTATTTAAGATATGTTGCTATTGTGCGCCAAACATTACCAGTTCTCACCAAGGATTTATAGCAGCAAAACTCTTCACAATAAAAGAGGAAAATAGCCTAAATTAACTCTGTGCATTACTGAATGATATCAACAGGCCTTACACAAAGTATGCCACCGCACTCTTTCATCCAAAACTACAGAGTCTGAGATCTTGTTTCTTATTTTCTGGGGGTCAGGCAGAAGCACAATGGACATAAAAGGTTCTAAAAGGTGACAAAACAGTATTACAGTATACACATTATTTCATAGAAAACAAGCAAGTACTAAAAATACTATAGCTGTTTAACAGTGTCTCCCATCAAAAAAATGTCAAGCTCATATTTCCTGCCTTTAACCAAAAGTCTGCAATTTGAAAACTCTAGTTACTAGTGCATCATTTAACAAAGCTACTCTGGTTAAATTTACAGATTAGTTTTGCTATGCGTGAAACAGTGCCGTTTTCTTGTAAATAGTGAAAAATAGAATCATGTCATCCTAATGCCATTTTAACAGCCAAACATAAACTGAAGTTTCAGATATTATTTGCGCGATTGATAACTTGGTAAAGTCAAGAGAATGAATGTGTAGCGAAAGTGCCTGCAGTACTGGCTCCTTTACGTTATTTAGTTATTTTATGTTTCAGTTAATTACAAAAAGAGTAGCACTATTTCTATTTCCAAACTTCAAGACAAGTGCAAACACTGCTGAATTATACAGTTCACAAAATTCCAAAATAATCAAGTCTGACTAGGTTTGTAAGAATAGCACCTCAGATTCTCCTGGGATTCTACAACCCAACTTTAGAGTTTACAATGCATTTAATAAAAAAGACGCAGCAATAAAATAAACAGTTGCCGCAAGCACAAAATGTTTTGGAAAACCGTAACTGTAAACATCATAGAGATGCATCTAATTAATCGAAAAGAACAAAGGAGAACAAAGGGAATACCATATTTTAAAAAAAAATCGAGAAGCGTCTCAGATTAACTGTGCACTAAAATTCCGAAACCTTTAACCCAATTTCTGAAATAATGCGACAACATCTCGATCGCGTATTAAAATATGTTGATTTTAGGTCAAATGAAGTCAGGAAAAGTAGCGCTCAGATGTTGGCTAGTGAGAGACAAAGGCAGCAGTGGCGGTAGGAGCTCCTGCACTTGCAGAGACAGAACTCTATCCCATCCTCAAGGGGGGAAACTCTTCCCCGCCTTGACTGACTGAGTGCCAGCATCAGCTGCTGCTCCTATCCGAACTTGGAGCCGGGGAGAAGGGAGAGAAGACCGACTGCTGTCCCAGCGATTGACACTGTGATGTGAACCCATATCCTGGCGGGTTTCTCGGCCACCCGGCCCGGGGCTTTGGAGTGAGTGTGTGAGGCCCACACTCAGACTTTAACACTCAGCGCCAGACAGAAACATCAGCCAACTCAATTACATCATTTAATTCTCATTTATTCTTTCTCCCCCCGGAAAAAATTTTTTAAAAACTTGAAGATCGTGAGGGAGGAGAAAGACAGATCAACCAGAAACGGCAGCGGATTCTCTTACCCCCTGTGCCGTCTGAATTCTCGTTTAAACTGCCCGAGGAATCATGCTGAGTGCCCACACACCCTCCCATGGGTGAGCTCCTGTCACTTTGACAACAGACCGACTGACCCAGCCGGCACAGGACCCGCTCAGACGGCCGCGCGCCTCGCCATAACCAAGCTCCGGATCCACCTCCCTCCCGTGCCGCCACGCCCACATTCGTGGTGCGGCCTGACCCCGCCTCCTCCAGGTTCCCCCGGCGACCGTCGAAAAGTAGCCACGCCCTTTCCTCCAAGAGGCCGTGCCCTTTCCTCCTGGGGTGCCCCGCTGGCCCGCCCCTTTGCCTAAGATCCGCGCGACAAGTAGCCCCGCCTCTTTCGCTTCGACCCCGCCCCTTCCCTGACCATCACTGATCCAGCCCGCCTCACAAACTAGCCACACCCCTTTTCCAGCGAGGCCCCGCCTCACGCCGTACATCAGATGCAGAGCTGATGCTGGGGATCCTACGGTAATATTTAACTGTTTTTGTTCTATTTGTTTCCAACGGTTTTTGGCTTTTATTTTGCTGTTTTTTGGGGAGGGGGGCTGAGGGTGTGTGTGAGGATGGGACTGTATTCCTTCCCCCTGCGATGTACTGGGGAGTACTTTTGCGCTCGACCTGCCGCCCTTCTGAGGCCGGGGTCGGCTCCTTTTTCATATTTTCATACTTTCATTCTCCTCTTCACAAGCCAGTTTGGGTTTATCACACACTACCGTCTCCCACATCCCGGTTTTATTCCATTTCCGGACGATTGGCGACATTGGCATTATAAAGCTCGTTAAACCCTATATCAAGTGACTTGACACCAAACTTTCTCTTTAAACCTCCTGTGACCATCTTGGGACACAGGCCCGGACTTTCCGCTGGCCTGACAGTTGTTATTCCAGAGGAAGATATTGCCCTGGAAATTGAGTTTTCCGCTGAACAATTTCCCTGCGCTGAGAACCCGCTGAAAGTCTCCACTTAAATCAGAAACCTCTCCTTCAAGCCAATCACCTGCCAGACAACAATTCCCCTCCACTCCCACCCTTGCCAGACCCTAATCTGACAACACGCCTCCACTTCCTCACCGTTTCCTTTGACCCTAGAAGACCTTTTCTGTCATTGAGTGTCACCTGTCTCATCCTATCAAAGACTTTCCTCTTTGTCCTACTGATCCCTCACTCGAAACCTATTTCGTTAAAACTCTGACTAGCTAAAAATGTAAGGTCATCCTTGACCTGAAAGATCATCTCTATTGCTTCTCCACAGATGTTGCCTGACATTGAGTTTTTTTTCCAGCATTTCCTATTGTTTCCTGCATTCTCTGCCAAAGGTAGGTCCAATCACAACATCCTAATCTCAAGAAGGCAGCCAGAATGGGATCATAATCCATGCTGTTGGCACCAACTTAGTGCACGTGGGCAATAAGACCATAAGACATAAGAGCAGAAATTAGGCCATTCAGCCCGTCGTGTCTGCTCCACCATTCAGTCATGGCTGATAAGTTTCTCAACACCATTCTCCCGTATTCTCCCGTTTTCTCCCTGTAACCCTTGATCGCCTTGACAATCAAGAACCTATCTATCGCCGTCTTAAATGAACTCAATGGCCTGGCCTCCACAGCCTTCGATGGCAGTGAATTCCATAGATTCATAATTCATAAGGTAGGCAGCCTTACTGCACTCACCTATCACCATCCCACCTGCCTTCCCCAGCCCAACTCTCCCTCTCTCTATTTATTTCAGGGCCTCCTTCCCCCTTCCCATTTCTTAAGAAGGGTCCCGACCCGAGGCGTCGGCTTTCCTGCTCCTCTGATGCTGCCTGGCCTGCTGTGTTCCTCCAGCTCCACACTGTGTTATCCCTTGTAGAACACCACTTGTCACTGGCTGCCATCCTGAGAAGGACCCCTTTATCCCCATTCTCTGCTTTCTGCTGGACAGCCAATCTACTATCCATGCTCGCACCTTGCCCCTAACACCATAGGCCCTTATCTTATTCAGCAGCTTCCTGTGCAGCACCTTGTCAAAGGCCTTCTTGAAGTCCAGGTAGATAACATCCATTGGCTGTCCTTGGTCTGATGTGCTCGTTACTTCCTCAAAGAATTCTAACAGATTCGTCAGGCATGACCTCCCCTTGCTGAAGCCATGCTGACTTTGCCATATTTTACTATGCACTTCCAAGTATTCAGAAATCTCATCCTTCAGAATGCACCCTAAAATCTTACCCACAACTGAGATTAGGCTAACTGGACTGTAATTTTCAGTCTTTTACCTTACTCCCTTTTTAAACAGGGGTGTCACCTTAGTGATTTTCCAGTCCTTTGGGAGCTTCCTTGACTCTAGCAATTCCTGACAGATCACCACTAACACCTTCACTATCTCTTCAGCTATCTAATAGATGTTGATAGCTATTAGATGCACTGCAACAACTCACCAAAGGCTCCTGTGACAGCACCTCACAAATCCCTGATTTCTACCACCTAGAAGGACAAGGATATCAGAAGTACAGGATGACCATCACCAGGAAATCCTCCAAGCCACACACCATCCTTGACTTGGAACTATACCACCATTGTCACTGGGTCAAAATCCTGGAACTCCCACTTTAATAGTCATGTGGATCTACACCATGTGGACTACAGTAGTTGAAGTAGGCAATTCAAAGGCATTTACAAATCTGCAATAAATTCTGGCTTTGGAAGTGACACGCACATCCTGTGAAGGAATGAATAAAAATAAATAATTATGTGGCCTTACGCTCTGAATTCTTGTTTGAAGAGATATTTTATAAGCCTTAACAAGATTGAAGTTGGGGCTTAGGCAACTAAGATGTAGCTCTCATTTGTGTGCAGAAGGGTGAGAAGCATGAACAAGAGATCAGAGGAACAGAATACTCTGGGTTTGACTGTAAGATGTAGGGGTTTGGGTTATAGAATGTTTACAGAAATGGGGAGCTTTAAGGCTGTAATACAATGATTTACATACATGAAAATTTTAGATCTGAAGTAGTCGGCCGGCAATGATGGAGGTTGGCTGATTGGGACTCGTTGAAGGATACATATGGCAGCAGAATTTGAACAACCTAATGCTAAAAATAGGGCAGGAAATGTGAGGTGATCAAGAATACAGTGAAATTGTGAGCTTGGAGTTGACTGATCTATAAATGATAGTTTCAGTGGCAAGTGAGCTGTGATAGGGACAGAGGTCAGGGTTTTTCACAGAGGTAGAGTGGGCAGTTTCTTTGATGAAGACGTTTCAATTAGGCTGTATCAGTAAGTTGTCATGAAAATATGGCAAGACATTTTTTGTTACTGAAATTGCACTTTGTAACAATAGCAGTCCCATATAAAAATACTGATAATCAAGCAGTCTTCAGCATTTGAAAATTAAGTAGCAGTTGGAAATTCAGGTTCAGCTTTAAAGATTTTTTTCTTAATTATTTACCAAAGTTTTCCTTATTTAAATTAATTGCTAGTGGATTAAATTTTATAAAATGGTCCCAGTTAAAATAACAAAAAGAAAATCAATAAATAAATAATACATTTGATTTGGATCATTATTTGAACTTGCTGATAAGCATAGTGGAAGCCTGATGAGACTGCACAACATTTGCTGGACCATCAAGAACCATACCAGCGGAGACAGTAAAAACAGCCTGACTTCAGTATAGGTAATTCTGCTATTACACGTGTTTCATTGATGCAAATTGGCTGTAATGTGATTGATGAATAGTGGACGCTGTTTGGAATAGGCAAACTTTCTGTTGTACAGGTATAGCAATTTTTCTATAGCGTGAGGTCACACAAGAATGCAGCTATTGCGTTATAGGAGAACTACCTATAATTAGCAATGCTGTATTTGCCAAGGATGTTTAGCATATGCTGAAGGCTGAATGTAGAAGCTCTTAGTCCAGACCATAACTATAGAAAAAGGAGTAGGCCATTTGGCCCCTCGAGTTTACTCTGCCATTCAGTAGGATGATGGCTGATCTGAAGTGGATCACAGTCTGCTTTTGGATAGTCCCACACTGCGCGAATTTGTATTTCTTTTAAAGTATGATGGCTCTTCACTATTAAAAGAATGAGTCACAAATAAAAAAAAAATTTGTAAAGAAAATAATGTGCTCTGATTTATTATTTTACCATAAAGCAAATGTAAAGTTTCAAACTGACTGATATGTCTGTCAGGCTTCACCTATTTGGTGTGAAACATATTTGTTTTCTTCATAAAAATGCAAGTTATTTTTGTACATCTCAACCGTTTAAAATAGACTGAGTTCCATCTGTTGAAATAATTTTGTGGTCTCCCAATCTTTTTGATTAAAAATGTCTCTCAACGTTTGCTAACAATTTGGCATTAGTATTCAATCAGTTCAAAAGAAATCAGACATTATCTTTCCATGAAAAACATTAAATATGCACAAAAGTAAACAAATGCAGACTCCTACAATGCAATATGGTGCAGAAGAAGGCTATTTGGTCCATCAAGTCTATACAAGTTCTCTGTAAAATTGAATCAATTCAATTTACTTGGGTCACATTGAAGTGAATGGAAGACAATGAAAAAGAAAGATAATGGGCTGAATTTTTGAGTCCCACCAGGATAGAAATGGCAGTGGGCGGGGGTCTAAAACACCACACCAGCTGACATGCTGATTTCCTAATGGTATTCCTAGTGCTGAACAGTTTTTCAGGTGTTTGGGGTGGTGGTCCAGTGATCCTGCCTGTATTGTGATAACATCTAATTAAGTTGGTTGAAGATCTCATTTACTTTGCATTAAAGGCAGATTTTTGCGGCCATGTACGTACTGCACTTCTTCTCTGGAATAAACCAAATAAATGGACTTAGGGTTCAGGTAATTTCCTGCCCCAGGAAATTAACTGCATTTCTCCCCTAAAATAGTAAGTGGTGCAGTAAAGGATGTGGCCACTGGGAAACAGATACCATCAGGTCAGCACATGCTCTGGGAAGAGTGGATAATAAGCACTTAAGCAGTGCAAGGGTTATTACCCTAACGACATGAGGGCATAAGAATGGGGAAGGCTGCCAAGTGTTATTGGGCTGCAGTTGACAAGGAGGATGCAGATTTCAGGTTTCGGACCCAGTGGCTCTGAGCAGCACTCTCCAGAATAAGGGCTGAACTCCAAGCATCAGGAAGACGGAGGAAAGTGACAAAGGGCAGGATAGGACAAAGCCCCGAGCATACAATCTAACAACAAAGTCAGATCTACCTGGAGATGGTCATGATTCAGTACTATAGTAGATTGTGAACCTTTACATAGCTGGCCTTGGATATCTGCATCTTCATTGTAGAAGACCATGCCCCTCAAACCTCTCAGGTTCACCATGCCCTTTCAGCGGTGGTTAAAGTAACTTGAAAGTTTTTGCTTTTGAATCTTTCCAGATATAAGCTCTGGACCTTCATGGCATCTCAGAAATAGATGAGTACACTGCACCTCGCAGATCTTGACTGCCATTTTTGCCAGAGCTGGATGGTGCCAGTTGAAGATAGACACAACCTTGGAGACACAGCTGGCTTTACTCAGCTCCACTGGTTTCCTCCAGAACAAGTGCCATTGATTGTACACATGGGCACCTAATGACTTAACCAATGTCACCCTATCTAAATGTATGTGGGGACCAAATGATATGAGAGTAACTGATGGATGGTGTACATATAAAGGGTCTGTTAGTGCTTCTTTAAAATTTTACTGAACCTCTGAATCCAGTGATAGTGAAGAAGACCTCATTGTGTCAGAATCTGCACATATAGGGGATGCAAGAAAAGAACAAAAATTTAGCCTTGCAGAGAATAAACCTCTGCAGTGTTTAGGCTTCCTGATACAACTCCATATATGCTGTGATGGTAGAGCACAATCTCATGTGCACATCTTGCTCTGGTCAATTTCCATGTGATCCTGGCTATTTCCATCTCTTTGTCATCTACAGGCATGCAAGTTGATACTATCATGTAAGTTACTCGAAGAGTACAATAAACATGGAGAAAAATGTGCCAAAGCAAGTTAATATCAGGAAAGATTTTTCACTGTGCACATCATGAAAGTTTCTGATATTGTTCGAACGTAACTGGTGGAGCTGTACATGTTCTTGGGGGCAGCCAGTTTTCTGTAATAAGTTAATACTAATAATTTTCTGTAATAGTTAAGAGTCAGTCTCTGCTGACACGCTCAATAGACTTGGTAAGGTCTGCAAAGGCAATGTAAAGTGGCATTGCCACTTTCGAAGCACTTAGAAGTAAAAGCTTTGAGGAAGGTATGGAATATGGAGAAATATAATTATTACAAAGTATATAATTTTAAAACAATCTGATATTTTAAAGAGCTATTTTATACATTAACTATTTTAAGAAGTGCTATGTTAAATGTTCCCAGTTTAAATAATAAATATTAAGCTGAAGCTCCATCAGAAATCCTGATTGCAGTGTGTTAATGGAAAATAATTTGCCAAGATCTTTAAGTAAATTTAGATGGAGTGTTATGATGTCACTTATAAAAAATTATGCAGCCTCAAAAATTTTCTGAAAGCTTTTAGGATGCTGGCTCAGAAATATAATAAAATATCCAGCAATAATGATGATGATGAAAATTTTATTTGACATTTTGACTTCTTTGAACTAGAACTCACAAAGAAATTAAATGGCATGTACGCTGTTGTCATGTGCCATGCACTGAGACGGATCAATGTCAAATGGTTGTTTGCTAGCTGGGATCTATGTTGGATCTGATCAGAGATAATACTGCCATAAGATGTTCAACTTTGAAATTAAAAGAGTACAAGTGCTATCTATACATTACATGGTTTAAATAAAGGCCACTATTATTAGGTTCTTGAATAATTAAGGCAATACATGACAATAAACAACAAATTGATGGTAATGAATGTTCAGTGTGTCAATATGGTGCAAACTGATTACATGTTTGGACAGGGTCTCCACCATGGATTTGAAGAAGTTGTCATTTTTCTGTTTTAAAGGAGTGTACAACTTGGGCACAATATTTTCATTTGATCAAAAAACATCCTGCGTTCCAGTTATAACCTGAATAATGAATGAAATCATTAATAGTTATCAACATTAGCTACCTGTGAAAAAAATTATGTCAACTTACATTTTTAATTCTGTCCCAAAGCCTCCGGAATTAAACAAAAAAAAAATCAATGTTTAGCATTTCTGTAACTGAGAAAATGTGTATACACACACACACACACACACACACAAACACACACGGAGGAAAAAATAATTTTCCCAGAATACAATGCAAGATAATTCTGACAGTTTCTTTAGAAACATAGAATAAGTTTCTGATTGGTCATGCCTAATTTTAGGCAAAATGTGAATAAACCATTTAAACAGATTTTAAATGGAATTGTTGTATTATTTTAGCGTTGAAGTGAAGGAACCTTGATTTAATTTGTGCAAGGTCATTATTTTCTGATTTTACTATTCATATCCTGCTTATCGAATGAACCCAGAGTTATAACCCATCTCAAGCATGAGCGGAATGATACCTCAGGCCTTGTTGTAGATGTTTTCATCCATGGAAAGAATGGCCGCCTGATTGGAACAGTCAAATGCAAGCAGATCCACACCAATGGTTTGTACAATATGAATGCCAGATTTAGTAGGATGAATGATACCATTACCTTGGATGTTCATCGTTCCACTGCTGTGCTTAGCTAACCTTAGCTAAGTTACTACTGAAATCCTCATTCGACTATTTGTTACCTCAACACCTAACCATTGTAA